CCGTTCACAACTTGACCCCAGAGGGGTCTGCAGCTCATCCTTGTTCTCACTCACTGAGAATTTGTTCTCACAGATCCAACCCGCCCAAGTTTTGGCTGGCGGTTCCTGCTGTCTCCCGTGCGCTGGCACTGCCGGGTGTGTTGCTGTGCAGCGGGAGTTCCTGCTAGAAGCAGCAGACAGTCCCTTCAACGGGGCAGGAGAAGGCATGAGGGTGTTACTGGAGAAGACATCCCAGGTGCGCTCCGTGACATGGCTGAGGTGGGCTGGCTGCTCGCCCCCACACCAGACTGTAGCCAAGCCAGGCTGGCTCTTGCTGCTCTACTCTGTCTTAGACCCTTAAAATTCATGTGGAAAGAGACTTTCAGATATCATATATTTAATTCTGCTACTTGTGGCAGGGTTAATTTGGCACTGGGCCCGCCTCCCAGGTCAGGTTAGGTTACCTTCCTCACCTGTGGCATAGCGCACTGGGTGTTTGGCTGACCTGTTTCAGTGCTCTGACTTGAGAGAAATCTCTTTTTTTTAATTGTTGCACGGTTTTTTTGCCAGCTTGGCATGCTGGAACAGCTTTTCAGAGCCAGCATGAGTAAGAGGGTGGGACCGGGGAGAGCACAACTATAGCAGCCAGTGGTTAGATTGGCTTGGGGGATCGTGAAACCGCAGCATCCGGAGCAGTGGGCAGAGGGAAATCTCCCGGCGGCTGAGAGGCAGGCAGCTCCAGCCACAGCGCCTGCCTGTCCCCAGAAGGTGCTGGGGCATTGGTCATCCCAGGCAGCACAAAACTTCCTCCTGGGAGGAGCCAGGATTAGCTCTGCATTTTTCAGCTAGAGTCACATGATGGCAATTGTTGATTTATTTAAATAAAAGGAGTTGGCAGCCTAATCAGTTTGGAAATTAATTTCCTTGTTAATTTGGGCGTTTTGACTTGCTCATGAATATTCACAAATGCTCGTCCTTTTTTTTTTTTAACTCCTCTCTGTAATTTATTTTTGTGATTGTCAGATCACCTCTGAAGGTGACATTTCTCTCCTCATTCTGCAACGCAGCAAATGTATTCAATCTTATGCCTTGGAAGGGGAACTCCAGCCTGGCACTGACATCCCTTTTGCTTCTCTCTTTGCCAGCGAGTTCTCTGTAGCCTCTCAGCTCTCCTCCTCCCTCTCTGCAAGCTGCCTAGAAAGAAATAAGATCGAGAGTCTCCTCGAAGAAGGGGGCTGGTCTGGATTTGGTAATTGGGAGAGCTTGTCAGAATGCCCTATACCAGACAAGGAAAAGTGGTAATTGTCACCTGAGGGTTGGGACAAAGTGGTTAATTTTTTTTACAGTGCCTGAAGTTTTCTGCTCCCCCTCCCACCCCGCACTGCCAAGCACCCTTCACTAGCACGTGAGGCAGCGTGACTAACATCTGTCACAGACACTTGATTTGTCTTATCTCCTTAGGAGGAGGCAAAGTCAGACAAACACGGCTGTGCATCTCTGGAGAGTACAGCTGATCTTTTCACCTTCTTTCCCAGCTCTCTGTTGCCCCCCCTTTGCTTATCCCGCCTGCCCTTGTTCCTCTCCACACCATGGAAGAGCACCCTGGTCACCGTTGCCAGTTTCTCCCTGGTGAGGCATGCCCATATCCCACACGTGTATGTTTAGGTCTTCTGGAATTTCCTAACAGCGACCTGCTGGGCTCAGCTGAGGACTGTGGTGAATAAAAACCTGTGTATAATTGCTGGTGCTGGGGACAGGAGGAGCAGTGTGGGGTGAAAAGGTGCCCTCCTTACACTGTGCTGATGCACAGACAGGCTTGGCAAGTAACATGTTGTGTGCAGTGGTGACCACTAGGACCAGTAGCTGCTTCCAGACTGGCTTATTTCTTTAGAAAGGTCGGCTTTGGCGCAGCCTCCATCTACCCAACTTGTTCAGAGTGTGCCATCTCAGCTCAGAGCTGCATGAGGAGGAGTAGCCACGCTGCACCAGCCATGGGGCACTGCCAGCCTGGGCTGGGAGCTGGAAAGAGGGTGACAGAGGACTTATAATTGTGTGGCAAGGAAATAAGCCAGGAGCAATGTAAAGTGACTGCAAGAGGAAACTGAGCCCTGGAGCTGGTGGTAGGTGGAGGTTAGTGGAGCCTCCCTCCCAGGAGCAGAAGCATGGGAACAGCACAGCCAGGTTCCCACCTCCTGCTGAGGGCATCAGCTCCTGACAAGCTCAGAAAAGAAAACGTGTGGAGAAAGCCAGCTGAGCCCAAAGTTACCATGACACTTTCTCTCTCACAACCTTTGTAACAAGCTCTTCTGTGCAGCTTTGACCCAGGAGGGTGGCAAACGCACACTTCCATGCAGGCTGCCTCCTCCATCCTTGTTGCCTCCTCCACGATCACATCTGACTGTCACGTTCACACCTCAGCTCTTTCCTTCTTTATCTGCTCTCCTAGTTTCTTTCTCTCTCTCCTCCTTCACCACCCTAACACAAGGCACCCACCCCTGGACCTTCAGTAATGACTGCAGACCATCCTCCTGTGGTACCACTGTACTCTCTGTGCTTGAACACTTTTGTCTACTGTCTGTGTGTAAACTGCACTGTCCATGGTGGCCATTCCAGTAATACAGGTGGTACTTTGTGTCATGGGATTCTGCTTGGCTTACTTCTAGGGCTGGTACACCTGGCTTGACTTATTCAGCCAGCTGGCTCTAGAGGTACCTGAATTTGTTGGGGGTACCTGACCAGTAGGCAGAGGTGGACAGATAGGCTTGGAAAGTGTGATGGTGTAGTGACACACATTTTAAGGATGAAGACTGTTCATTCTCACCCAAATTTTTATCTGCTCATAGGACAATATTTAGTTTATCCTGCAGCTGATATTTTAATCTTGTGAGTACGTTTCTCAGCAAGGCGTGTTGTCCTCACTCTTTCAGGGAACTGACATCTCTTTGGCAATCGGCTGATTAAATCCCCTGGCAGCACACAGCAGAGAGCATTTCAGCACGTCATTCCTGGGATTTTTTTTTCTTTTTTCTTTTTTTCCACTGCATGGAAATAGATTGCATTTTCTCCTGCTTGGTAACTTCTCTGCTTAACATTGTTTAAGCTTTGAGAAACACACAGTAATGGAGAGTTATAGGTGTGCGTTATCCTGCACATGCTTGGCTACCTGAATCATTGCATTATAGTGGCATCTTGCTCTCTTAAGGGCAAGGAACAGAAAGCACACACCTGGGATACACTTTGGAATTTGAAGCACACACAACAGCGATCCAGTGCTTTTTCACTGAAAGAAGTAGGTTGTTCTGAACTGGGAACTTGGGGGTCCCTGTTGGGCAGGAAGGTAGTAAGCTGGGATTGATCAGCCTTGGCTCCAGGCTGAGTTCATTTGGCCACTGTAGTATAGTGAAGGCAGTTACTGAAACTTCTGGCCAATGTGCCATGAATACAAATCCCATAATTTAGAAGGAGGAAAAAGTATCACTGGATGTATCAAGACAGCCAGAGTGGCTGTACCTGAGGACCTTCAGCACAGGGCAAAAATCAGTCAGCTCAGAAGCCTGTTCTAGTGGGACAATAACTTCTCTGTGGCAATAACCCTGACAGGTTTACACCAAAATTATTTTATTAGATCACCACAAAAAGTATCAAGAAGTATTTTAAACATAATTCAGCAGTGAGCCCTTCAAGAAATGAAGGATCCCTGCAACCTAGGCTGCATTAAAAAAAGTGTAGTCAGCAGAACAAGGAAATTATTATTCCCAACCACTTGAGAGGTGTGAGGCCCCACCTGGAAGATTATGCCCAGGACTGGCTCCTCAGTACAAGATGGATCTTCACAAACTGCAACATGGCCAGCAAAAGGCCCCGACAGTGGAGGGCTAGAGCACACGATGCACAAGGAGAAGGCTGGGGGAGCTGGGTTTGTTGAAGAGAGGAGACCAAGGGGGTGTCTAATTGCTGTCTGCTCACGCCTAAAGGAAAACTGTAGAGAAGATGGAGCAAGACTCTGAGAAGGAAGCACAGTGAAAGGACAAGAAACAATGGACAAATGTTGAAACAAGAGAAATCCTAAACATGTATAAGGGAAATTTTTTTCTCCTTGAGAGCAGTGTAGCAGTGGAACAGATGCCTAGAAAGGCTGGGGAATCTCCATCCTTGGAGATGTTCAGAAGTTGTGTGAGCAAGGCCCTGAGCAGCCTGGTCTAGCTTTGAAGGTACCTTGCTGTGAGCAGAGAATTGGACCAGAGACTTCTAGAGGTCATTTCCCACCAGTTTTTGTTTTCTGTGGGTCGGTGTTTTTGTGCTGCTGATCTGCCATGAGCTAATGTTCAGTGTCCACACAATGCTGGAAGCCAAAAACGCAGTATGCTTCCTTGGCCCAGTGTCGACAGCAGCGTTAGCATGGGTAAAGCCCTTCTGCACTAAAATCTCTTCTCCAGCTGGCTTGCCACCCTCTGTGGTCCTACTTTTCCCGTTTTATACTATTCCAAGTACAGATGAATCTCCTAACAGCAGGCCCTGCTTGGTTTGGGGGTGACTCCTTGAGCTGTGACACCCAAGTTCTTCTGCACAGCAGCAGTCACCAAAATGTCA